AGTTCTGTTGATTCTTCAATCAAACTGACTAGTTGATTGTCCAGAGGTTCTGCTGTCTATTTCATGACAGTGTATGTCATTTAGCAGGAAAGAGCACCATTTAATTGCAGTATGGCATTGCAGTTCAATAACTACTCTCAGAGTGCTGTTGTCACTGTTTGTAAAATTGATGGCTCTTCCTCTCCCTTGCTGTTATTTTCGTGCATGCGTTCAACACAAGTCAACATGACCTTAGGCTATTTCTATTTAAACTGTTCACAAGAAGCCATGATCTGAATTAGACTACAATCCACCCTTCTTTTACTTTCATACAGAACGTATGAAAGTAGTTCAGAGTTTTTGTTAATTGTTATTAATTATAGGATTTCAAAGGTATGGTTGCTTTTATACAGTGTGTGTGTGTTGGTTATGTTTTTAACTTTTCTATGTTTTTGCAATTTTTTATTGTCATTTATGTGTTAATGGTTTTATTTATGAGCCACCTTGGGTCCCTTTCTGGGAGAAAGGTGGCATAGAAATGAAATAAAGAAATACATAATAAAAGTAAAGAAACAAAAAACAATAAGAGAAAGAAAGAGAAAAAAGGGAAGAGGGAAGAAGATATAAGCAAAGGATAGGCATAAAATTAAAAATACAATTAGGTAATTTTAGATTCTGTTTCATGCCCAGGGATGGTAGCTATAATGAGAGGGGAGAAATGTGGGCATTATTGTGTGCCTTCAAGTCATTTCTTATTTATGGTGACTCTAAGGTAAATCTATTCTTGGGTTTCCTGTGGCTGAGAGTATGTGATTCACCCAAGGTCACCCAGTAGGTTTCTATGGCTAAGTAGGGAATCTAACCCTGGTCTCCTGAGTCATAGTCCAATGCTCAAACCACTACACCACTCTGACATTGCCCTCTCAATAATAATTCTGCCACCCCCATGAAATTTTGCTTCAATGCATCAAATTTCTAGCACTGCAGTAACATAAATAGAAATAGAAATAGAGTTTAGGCATCCAAAGAAAAGAGGTGGTCAAGTGACCTAAGGCATATGAATGCAGCAAATGTAAGAGTTCTAGGTGGGAGTACTTTTCAAGGTCCCACTCTGCAATGCTAGATATTTGGAGACAAGCAAAATTTCATTTGAGGTGGGAAATGAGGTGGAAATTCTTTCATCTTCCCCCTCCTTTAGCTATACTCTGGCTTCCCAGAACCTTATATTATAAAGTATATGACTTCATTTACTTCAAAATATGGTGAACCAGTCCTCCTGAGTCTGGGGGCTTTTGCTCTTTCTGCTCCTGAACTATCCTACTCTATTGGTTCCATTCAGTGGCATCATGGAGCTTGGTGTCACCAGGTGTGGGGTGTGTGTGAACTGCCTTGCTCTCCCTCTCTCACTACTAGCCCACCCAGACCACTGTTGGAGTGGGCAGCACTGTCGCCTCCAGAGTGCCCATTCAGGGTCCAATGTGGCTGCTCCAAGAGTAGCCACACTGAAACCTGAAGGAAGCAACACACCCAGCAGATGCCACTGCTGAGTGGGGTGATGCGGCAGGCTCTGGATGGAGGCCCATTTAAAGTCTGGTGTGGCTGCTGGATGCGTGGGAAAGGGAAGTGATGCCTTTTCACACTCTGCAAGTAGACATGCCTGTCCCTCTGGGTGTACTGCTCCACTGGGTGACACTCCCCTCTGAGATGTCACCCAGTGCAGTTAGCACCCCTCCACCCCACTATTGATGCCTCTGGCACCACCAGTGTTACAAAGGCTCCTTTTAATGAAACATATTTTAAAATGTTTGGTCGATAACCTACACTAATACATTACAAATTTTCAAAGATATAGTGGTGTTAGTCTGTAGAATCAATATGTAGAGAGATCTTGTAGCACCTACAAGACTAACTAAAGAAAGAAGTTGGCAGCATGAGCTTTCATAGACCCAACTTCTTTCTTTAGTTAGTCTCAAAGGTGCTACAAGATCTCTCTACATTACAAATATATTAGTTTTCAACAAAACTAAAGCAAACAGGAAAATTAATAAACTTGGGCATATCTATGCCACCTCTTTATATTGCTACACACTGCTTCCCTTGACTCCTTCCCAAGGAATCTTGGGAACTGTAGTTCTGTCAGTGGGTCAAACTATGATGGGTGTCAATACAGGCTGAGTATTCCTTATCCAGATTTCCAAATCCCCCCAAAACTAAAACTGATTTCATGGCTGGCTGAGATAGTGACACCTTTGCTTTCTTTAGTGTACAGACACCTTGTTTTTTGCACAACATTATTTTAAAATGTTGTAGAAAATTACCTACAGGCTATGTTTATAAGATATATATGAGACATAAATGACTTTTGTGTTTAGACTTGGGTCTCATCTCCAAAATATCACATTATGTACATATATGCAAATACAGGTTTTCCAAAATAAAAATTTAAAAACATCAAAAATCCAAAACACTTCTGGTCCCAAGCATTTTGGATAAGGGATACTCAACCTGTAGAATAAAGCTGATACTGATTTGTTGATTAGATCTTCCCTTTGATAGCTATTCCAAACAAACAAAACAAATACATATTGCAATGATTAATGCTTTTTCTTACCAGTATTCCAGCTCCCAGAATCCCATGGAAAAACCAGACCAAATCAGTAATCCTGCTGGCTTCTAATACTTCTCCATTGGGAAAGTAGAGGAGGAGATTGGAGATAATAGCACAGATAGCAAGTGGGAGCAAGGCAATCCCAATGCATTTGGTGCATGTACATTTGGCACACTTTCCAATACACATCATGTATCGTTCTTTCCTTGGAAAAGAAAAGGGAAATACACAGAGGAAGACAGAAAACATATGGCATCAAAGGAAGCACTGGAGTTCTTCATAAAACCATGACCTGATTTGGGACTGGATCATAAACATTCTGAAGCCAGGGAGTTAAACTGTGAAATTCACTGTCCCAAAATGTTGTGGTGGCTGCCAACTTGGGGTTCATCCAGACTTCCCAATAGTTCCAGTAAATGTTGGGGTGTTCTCTCTGGGGATTTCATCCTTTGTAATGTCTTGTCATGCTTGTTTTACTCCTGCATCTAGTCATACCCTTAATATACTAATGTTTTAGCCTTGCTTTGTTGCTGAGTGTAGTGGATTTTAGCACTAGTCCCAACCAACATGTTCCTTTTCAGTACCTGTTGGGGTATCTTGTGTGATGTTGTGTTGTGCATGTTGGGGTATCTTGCTTATTGCCCTGTTGTACAATGGGAGCTCCCATTGCACAACAGGACTCATAATGCTAGGGCCATACTCCTGTCTCTACCTGGGCTATAATCGCAAAGGCATAGCTACATCTCCCCTCTCCTCCTAAGAATAGGAACACTGTGTAATGGCACAGTTCAGCCTCATGTGATGCTACATGTAGCATCGCCATAAGGGGAGGAACTACAAACAAGCCCTTATGAATCTGGCTAAAGCTTCCATCAGCTTGGCTGGTGGTGAGGCATGATGGGAATAGTAGTTCATCAGAACCTGGAGGGCCAAAGGTTCCCCGCCCTTGATATAGACCTCTAGTCTGATCCAACATGGCTCTGCTCATGTTCTTAAGTAGTTTGCTCTGTTTCTGCATGCCCTACTATAAAGAGAATAGTCCTCAACTAGATGTGCTCATCATGACAGTCTCTATAGTTGTGCGGTCAAAGAAAGTCCAAAAAGGCAGGCAGGTAGGCAGCCACAAGACATAGTGTAATACCCAGTATAAGAGCATGGGGGGATAACAGTTCCTAATATCCCTAACCAACATGGCCATTTGCTCTGCTGGTTGAGGAATTCTGGGGAGCTGTAGTAAAAAACGCAATTTTCCCCAAGTGCTGCCCAGATTATTATTTCATGTCTTATTAGAAAGCCCATAATCAGCATCTGCTTCAAGTCCTGTGTGCAGCTTCAATATTCATTTATTGGACATGCATAAGAGGAAGCTGGACTGTAGGAAGCTTCTAAACACCCACATACTCAGCAGTGAGAATGGAGTGCACAGTTGTTGTAGTATAGGCTTGTTGTTGTTATTATGTGCTTTTGAGTTATTTCCAACTTATGGCAACCCTAAGGCAAACCTATCATGGGGTTTTCTTGGCAAGTTTCTTCAGAGGGGGGGTTGCCATTGTCATCCTGTGAGGCTGAGAAAGTGTGACTTGCGCAAGGTCACCCAGTGGATTTACATAGCCGAGTTAGGATTCAAACCCTGGTCTCCAGTCATAGTCCAACACTCAAACCACTACACCATATTGGCTCCCTACATATACCACTCTATTTGTAAATGGGGCATAGACCATGGAGGATTATTAGTTGTGTGAAAGCCTGTCTAAATATGTGTGTGTGTGCACACAGAGGTGGCTACACCCCTACTGCTGAATGCATGGAGGATAGGTGGGTAGATTGGTCTTGCAGGCACAATCTTGGTTTTTTTCTTCTCACAAGTTCAGTGAACATGCTTTGAAGGTAAACAAGGCTGAGCCACAAGGAACCACTCCTGTACTTCCTTTGCCTCCCAACATGAGAGTTTGGTTAGAATTCCCATCATCTCTAGCCAAGCGACCATCATGATAATGGAAGTTACATACCTGGAAGGCAACAATTTAGGGAAAGCTGCTGTTATTGGTCTGTGGAGTTCACCAAACCATAGATTCCTAGTAAGTCACCTAATGCATATATATAGCATGGGCATTCTGCAGGACTACCATATGCAGTTGAAACCATATTAAAACCACCCCAACACATATGCTTTGAGTTATTTCTACTGACATCACAGGCAATGAAGAAACACTCTTAAAAGATGTGCAGCTATATCCCAGGGTTGGTAAAACACATCTCCACTGTGCAATCTTGCTTCACTCTGCATCCCACAAAACTGGCCTACCTTTGTCTCACAATTGGGGAAGGTTTGAGACAGTTTGACTTGAATGATTTCCTGATTAAACTGTACAAGTGTAGGAAAGCATATTCCCATCAACTCTCACTGACTGCTACAGATCACGCAAACATAAGAGCCATGCTAAGGTGGACTGAAGGCCTACCTTATGCAGCATTCTGTTCCCTCAATGGCCCATCAGAAACCAAGGGAATGACCAGAAGCAGCATATGGGAACAACAGCACCTTCCTTCCTTATGTTCTCCAGCAGCTGATATACAGAGGGGCACACTGTCTCAATATGGTTGGCAATATATGGCCAACAGTAGACTACTAGCCACTAAGACCCTTACAGGTCCATCCTCCATGATCCATGAAGTCACTAATAAGTTCAATATTTTGGGCCTGTTCTATGAATATCAAAGAAACGTAAGTAAATTCAGCATGAATTGCAACATGTTAAAATGTTTCAAATAGAACTGCAAAGATAAGGAGCTGGTCCAAATAGTAATAACTAATTAGTGCATCTTCCTGTTATATGAAAATACTAGTCTGATAACAGATTGACAAGACACAAATTTGGTAAAAGTAGTCTTCACTGGGAAGGTGGCAACCCCAAATGATTTCCCATCTATAAGCTAACATCAACATTAAACAATGCTTGAATTCAACAGTACAATATGAGTCCCCAAAGACAGTAGCACTGCTTACCTTATTTATTTTGCAAGTCGACAAATATATCCTAGGCTGTAAGGTCTCCAACAGAGGACTGGATGGACCCTCTCTTAATGATGACTTCAGTTTTTATACTTTCTTCTTTTTTTCTGAATCAGCACAGAAACCTTCTGGAAGTGGGATTTCAATTAAATAAGTATATGAAATCATCACCAAAGAAGGAGGAAAGACCCAAACATAAAAACTCCCATTTAGCAGGCACCAAGGCCATGTGTCACTCTGCATTAATTGATTTTCTTTTTCAGGGACTGTTCCACTGGTCAATGGCCACCTTG